TATTGCCATTTATTTGTTAATTAATTAATTCATTCATTCATTCAATATTGACATTGTATCTTCCTTTCTATTTGTTCTGACATGCAAGCATTTTAACTTGGGGGTTTCCTTGGGGGGGAGTAAAATACTTGGTATATCTAGGGCTGTAAAAAAAGAGGGGTCAGTATATGGAGAATGGTTGGCATGTTAAAGAGATGCCAGAGAACTGTTGTCACATGATAGCCTATTTGCGTGCTTCCCAACCAGCTTCTGACAAGCAGAGTCAATGGAGAAGCCAGCATTAAAACTGCAAGTCGCGGTCATGTGATGTCTCGCTTAATGACCCATGGTGATTCACTTAACAACCAAATGGGAAGTAACAGCATAAATTCGTTGCTGTCACATGACGTTTTGCTTAGGGACTGTGTTGCTTCGCGGCAGAGTTGCCGATCCCAATTGTGGTCACTAAGCCAGGACTACCTGTAATTGTGAAGAAGTCCTTTTAAATATTTTGGTTTACTGAATCATTTCTCTCTCCCACTTGCTTCTGATAACAGGAAATGTCCCCAAAACAACAGAGGACGTCGGCAGAAGCAAAATCTAGGCCACTTTACTTCAGATACGTCATCCAGAATGGTTTAGCGTGATTTTTTATACCTACATTGACCATGTGATGTACAATTTTATTAACTTTTTTTAAAACAATGGAAATATTTATTTCAGAGGCCTTATTTTTGGACATTTTAATTATTATTGTTATTATTATTTTTAGTGTAGCTCTGTTTCGTTTTATTCCAGGAAGCAGCTAACAGCTATGGACTGCTCTAGTAACTTCTCATTTCATGGTTTGAAGAAGATGTTAGTTTATTTCTTGTATTTGTATCACATGGTTATATTGATAGACTTGTGCTTTAATCATGGAATGTAAGAATTTTGAAAAGAGAGACAATTCACCAATGGTTATTCAGCAAATGAAAATGGAGCCCACCATGTTTCCTAGCAAAAAAGGCATGACTTAAGGGTAAAGATGTTTACAACATACTTTTCTTACAAGAAACTAGAAGACACTGTGTTTAAATACCGTAGATATTTAAATGTTTTTAAAACTTAGTAATGGATTTTTTTAGACACTGCCAATCGCATGAAATGTGGAGATGTGTTTTTGTGTGTAGTTGTAACATTTAGAGTGGGCTGAATCCAGACTAAGTTAGCTGTACCTAGTCCTCATAGGAATCAGTGGACGGGTTAATCTAAATTCCCATTGTTTTCAATGAAAACAAATTGTACAACTAACTTAGAGTGCAATCCTATACATCTCTACTCAGAAGTAAGCCCCATTCGGTTTAATGGAAATTATTCCCAGGTAAGTATGTAAAGGACTGTATCTTTAGCCTGGATCCAATCCAAGATATATGGCCTGGGTTGCAGCGCCATCTTCATAAATATTTGACACTTTATTTTTAAATTGTAAAATAATAATTATAATATACAGTTCATTATTTGAAAGACTGCTCAACTGAGCAGAGCACATTTGTCCTGGAGAGACAAGTATATTGCTTTTTTGTTAAGAATTATGTTAATAACCAACATACATGATTGGGATGTAGCTGTGTTAGCCACTGTTTAAACAACTTTCATACTTACTACAGTTTTCTAAAGAAGATACCTGTTTTCACATCAGCAAACACAATTGTATAGTCTTTGTGATTAAAATGCAAAAAACAAAAATAATATAAAAGATTTTGTGCTCTTGTCAAGAATACTTTCAAGAGCTAAGAATGTGTCTCCAAATAAAGTCTGCTGGTTGTATTTATTATATTAATAGGATGTTAGTAATTGTTTGGAAGATTCAGAGCTAAAATGTAACTAGGGTGTGTTCCAGCTGTTTAACATGTAGTTTTAGGCTTTCCGATTCTGCATGTAGGAATAAATAATTTGTTCAATAAAAAGGCTTTGAATATTTCAACTGGAAAGGTATGCCAATGCAATGTTTTCTCTTCTTATTCAATCTGTTCCAAGTGTGTTTATTCATTATTGGAAGGAACAGCCTATGTGTTTTGAAGGGAAGTGGCAAATGTCCTTTCAACTGCCAGAGGTCTGTTAGAAAGCATTGATCCCCTCCCCACCACCTGCACACAAGAAAAAAATTAATTAAAATAGAAGCAACATAAATTTTAATAGGCTGTGGGTTAGTTCTTTGACTGGTATATTGTTTAACTGTTCCTAGATTAACTCAGATAGGTTCATTGGTTATAGGAATGTGCTTCTTTCCGTGCATGTTCCTTTCCCAGTGCTGCTTCCTAATTTTAGAGGGTTCATGTTGCAGAAGGCACTTGAACAATCAGGCGTGGCTATTTTGTGGGTATAAATATTTGACAAGTCTCTTTGGGTGGAGTTTCAGACCGTGCTTTTGAACATTCCCTTAAAGACAGCTGTTCAGCAACCTTCTTGCATCAGTGCCAGAATTGTCCCACTGAGGTTTGAACGGCTATTATATTTCAACTCCTGTAGACCGATCTGAAGACGGGCAGTATGGATCATCGTGCAGCCTTGGAAATGGACAAAATCAACCCGAATCGCCAGTCGAATGTCACGGATGATGAAGAAGAACAAGACGCTGCATTTACCATTGTCAGAGTCCTGGACAAGGTAGCCACCATAGTAGACAGTGTGCAGGCCAGTCAAAAACGCATTGAGCAGCGCCACAGAGAAATGGAAGACGCCATCAAGACAATTCAGATTGACATTCTAAAGCTGGCTCAGGCACACGGCAACACAGGATTCACAGTTAACAGGCTGTTGGAGAAAACTCGCAAAGTTAGTGCTCATGTCAAAGAAGTGAGAGCCCGAGTAGAGAAGCAGAATGCTAATGTGCAGAAGGTAGAGACCAAACAGGAAGAAATGCTGCGGAAAAACAAGTTTCGTGTTGTCATTTACCAGGTAAAACCTTTTCTTTAAAAAAAAATGCTGTTACCTGCTATTGCAACTTCACACTTTCTAGTTGCTTAACAGCTCAAAGAATGGTTTTTAAAAAGCCCTCTTCGTCTCAAAATGTGTTATGCCTTGTGGCTTTTCAGCATTGATTTTTGCTTCTGAACGTGTTGGAGTTTGAATCCACTGGTGGCAAGTCAGGCAGTCTATTATTAGTTCGGGAAGTTTCTCAGCCAGCCAGCATAAGATTAAGTGTAGATCAGCAAGACTGTGTTGCATCTGTGAAAGGCAATCTGAGGCAGGCAGTTGAGTATCATGACAGAGTATTCCAGGCGTGACTGTCGTCCCTCTTATTTTTTCAGAGGATTAAGTAGAGAACTCAGCCTCAGCAATTCTTTGCATGGTGTAATGCTTCCATTAATTGTGTGTTTTTTTCCCATTTAAGAGCTCATTTGTGTTTTCTTTGCTCACTAATAACCCTTAATATATCTCTCTGCCTGCTTTCTATGCAACAGTTTACTTCGAAGCTCCCTTTTTTCCAAGAAATAACTTTTTTGTCTAAAGAAAGTAAAAACAAAATCCTGACACTTAAATGGATATCTCAAAATAAAGTGGGCAAATAAAGTTAATCGCCTTGCAAAATTCAAAGCGTCTATATGGGAGAGAAGTGAACAGTTCTGGTGCTAAATTAATTTGTTATTAAGAATGGTTCTCTACTAATCAAAGTATTTTTTGCGTGTAACACCGATGATCATATATTGTGTCCAAATAATTAATATTGTGCTTAGTTGCAGGGGCATTGAAATTGCAAATGTAGTAGTGTGTTTAAGAATCCCCAAATCCTGTTAGAGGTTCAGACTCCTTCATTCTCATTAAGGTCACCAGGTATTATGTTTTAGATTTTAGCCATTGGAACATGTATTTCTTTCAAAGAATAACAGTGGTAGTGGGGAAAAAATATTGCTGTTTGTGTTTAGCTCATCAAAATGCTTTGACACCTGAAATGCCTTCATTTGTGTAATCTTTTTTTTTAATACTTCAAGGAGGTTCACATATCACGTTCACTGAAAATGTGATATGCTGCATTGGAAACAAATAGTGGGCACAATCCAATCTAAATATCTTTCAGCTACAACTCTATACCAAATTTGCTGAGATGCTGAGCCCTACTGAACTCACGTTTCTTTCTAAGGGAGAGTTATAGATGTTTGAAAACAATGGAATTTAATAGTGCTTAGTTTTGGCTGGATTGTTCCTATGGTTGTACTGAAATCATGAGAATTATTATTATTTCCAGATAAGTAACTCTAGAGTCAATTTATAAAAGACATCACATTTTGGCTCTCATGTTTGGGGAAGGAAAAAAATGTTATCATCCTGGATTATTATTTGCTTTTATTTTTATTGTGGATGGTATGGCTCGCTGTTATAAAAATTACTTCAGGATGATCAACTAACAATAAATTCTAGTCTTAGATACATGTACCTCTTCATGTACCTCTCACACATACAGGTTTTAATGCTGTAACAGTGGAACTCAGTCAATTATGTATATGTATATTCATTCTCTGAATTATGTTAGTGTATCTGGGTTATGAAATTTAGAAATGTCACATCCTTAGTTATGTGTGTTCTGCACAGAGCAAGATCTGATATTCAGGAAGGAAAATTAATGATTACTAGATAGTGTATCAATAGCCAAGTGGCTGAATGGTCCATGGACCTACCTATGGTTTAGCAGCATGGTTACATTTTTCATGATGCATAGTGGATGCCCCAACTTAACAAGCAGCAAAATTGAACCAAATTATGGCAAGGGAGTTGATTAATACTGCTGTAGCAATACAATGAAAGCATCTTCACCAAAAGTGATTGATCATCATTGGATACGAGGTCTGATGAAATCCAGCAAACATCCTCACTAGTTTCCAATTAACTGACTATTCTCTCCTTCCTCCAAGAGGTTTAGTTGGACAATTGGTCAACCATCTTACTTTATTGGGGAGAATATCCAATGTCACATTGCCTTAAATATTATTTAAATTTTTGTATCATGTGCAAGAGTTCAAATTCTTCACATTAAAATATGCTTTGTTGTGATTTTGACAGGCTTAAAAGGAGTTACTTAATATTGTTGGAGGGAACAGCAATTGGCTATTAGCTGAAGTATGGTTAATGACCTCCAAATGAATCAGGATTTGAAAGCCAATATTAAGCAATGGTTTTATATTTTTATTTGGGAGACAATGCCATAATTTCCTACTTAGGGTTAATGGGAAATTGACTGTGACTTCCATGTATATTTTTTTCGTGTAAAAAAAGGAACAAAATGAATTAAGTTCTTGCATGATTTGCTCAGCTGAAATTCTCTGAGATTTTGTGAAGGTGGATTGATTTCCATCAAAGCCATATTGAGTGGCAACAAGAAACCTTGTGATCCCATGCTTGTTCTTCCCCCAGAATTGGGAGGGAAAGTTACATTTTCAATTCAAGTTCAGATAAGCATAGTGTTTGTTATCTAAATTTCAAAACTGGTTAATCTTAACATCAATTTATTTCAAGAAAGCCAACTTCAGACTTAAAATCAGTAACACAATCGTTAAGGAACTCCACCTTCTTTTCAGGCTGTTGCATAGTTTGGGTCTGTTCTTTTTTCTTTTAATTTTGAAAAAGAGAAAAATTATCACATTATTCCATTTTATCATGTACTTTATATTTGTATCAGAAACAAATGAATTCTGGCTTACTTGTTTATCACTTAATAGTTCAAGGATCAGCATAGTTATCTTTCCCATGGAAAAACTGAGTCTGCTGAAGTAAAACTAAGTAAATTACATTTTTTTCCTCAAACGTTTGGGTGGAATTTTGGAAAATATCATCTCAGAATTGGAATTATTTGCTGACCTTTCCTGAATTTCCATTCCCCTGTTGTAAGTGCCATTAGAGAACAAAATATCTTCTAGAGAATACTAGGAATGTGTGGCATACAGATAGAAAGACCCAGGTTCAGTCTCTGACATTTTCAGATTCAGGAAGAACAAAGAGGAAGGTGGTAATTAATCTACAGCAGATACAGTGGTACCTCTAGTTATGAACTTAATCCGTTCCGTGACTCTGGTTGCACTTGAGTTGGTCTCAAGTCGAGGTAAAGTTTCCCATAAGGTTCCATGTAAATACGGTTAATCCG